ATTGGAAATGGAAAGGGGAAGGAAAAGGCAAAGAGGATTTCTTATCCTAATCCTACCCCGGAAAAGTCCAACGAGATGGACGTGGACCTTCCCGAGGCATTGAAAGGACGAATTGGGGAGAAGGTACTGGAGGGAACCTCCACCATCCAGGAACTTCCCCCACCAACCATCATCCCAACAACTTTCAACGTCCCACCACCCGTCATCTCAGGAAACTCTTTGTCATCTAACGCCCTGGAAGCTCTGGCTGCTGCCCTGGTGTCCTTGCCACAACAGATTCAAGCCTCTGTTGGCAAGGCAATCGCCGGGACAGAAGGACAGCAAGTCAAAGAAGCCGAAAGGGGACGAAAGATCTCCAAAGATTTGGGAAGGAAGGGTGAAAAGAGGAAGGACAGGTCGGAGTCGAACCGACAGAAGAAGAAGATGGAAGGTGAAGGGAAGAAAGGAAAAGTGGACTCGATTGCCGCCTTAATCGAGAGGAAGGAGAAGGAGGTGGAGACGGATTTGATGATGGCAGGCAAGCTCCAAAAGGAGTATATGTGTATGGAGAAGGAGGTGGAAGTTATGGCAAAGCGGCTCCAACTTCTGAAAGACGCGGCAGGAGAGCTGCAACGAAAATCCTCCTGTGCCAAGGAGGAGTTGGCCATCCTGAAGAAAATTTAAGAAGCTCGTTGGACTGATCCCAAAGTATTTTCAAAATTATTGTTACTTTTCCAAAAATTACGTGTTTCGGTTAATTTTGTCTAATGCCAAAATTAACCCCCCTAAATTACATCATGATTTAAATTCCAGCACAATTGCCAATTGACGAGAAATTTTGAATCGCCAAAATTTACAATTGGTCAATTTCATCGAATTTTTACATGATAAAATCGCATTGCCTAAAATACGATCTTTAAAAATGGCCCCACATTGGAGCTCCTTAAAGATCAGGTCATGCGGTTTACGATTTAAATACCTGCTTAAAATCGTGAGGGGAGTGTATAAAAAGAAAATATCGCGCGATTAAATTTTGCAATATTGCCAAAATTTGCGCGCATCACATTTTCTTTTTATGAAACAGAGAATAAGGAACAAACCGCCTTTCACTTCGCCATCTCCCAATGAGCGAAATGGGCACTCTTATTCTCCTCCTCGCACTACGATTTATTATGGCGGCTTATTTTTTCTTTGTCAAATCAGTTTGCTTTTTGATTTGATTCCTGACGGTTGTGTCTGACACATAACCCTTGGGATTTGGCTGTTGAAAGCCACAAATCAATACATAAGTAAACTTCCAACTGAATGATCCTTGGCTATTGCTTTTGGCTTCCACAAAAGTGCTATCGAGTTATTCTCCGTGACAAAGCAAATCAGGGTGACTAAGTTTCAACCGAAACTAACACCCTCCTATCATTTCTGAGGCTTGCATCTTATTCCCATAAGATTAGCTAAAGAAATACCAGGTATTTTTGCACATTCTTTTTTTGGACCATATAATATAAA